ACAATACACTTGAATAGATAGTGAAAGATTTTCAACATTTCAAAGTTTGAAACACTATAAATTAACGTGTATAACACATTGAACCAAGGTGAAATACACTTAAAGTAAATGTGATTGTGCATTTAGAAAATCAAGTGTTTAAACACTTCGATCAAACATGTGAAATTTTTTGAGTGTACTAGATTAAATTTGAGAGTATTGCAATCGAACGGAAATTCAATCACCTTTATGTTTCGTGTGCTTCTCAAATTCAACTAGTTTTTGGAATCAAAAGCAATATTCTAGCTCTATTGATTAATTATTGATCTTAGTTGGTTAATTAATGGCACCAAAAAATGAGCAAAATATTGCGATGCAATCAATTATTAATTTACACGTAAATCGAATCAAAAGTAGATGTCATGTGAAATGCTAAGTTTTAGCAAGGGTTGCAAGATAATTTAGATACAAATCCCTGCTGCCGAATTGTATTTTGTTATCTCCGCCCATCTCTTCCTCTGAGTATTTCCAATAATGACAATGGCAACTGACAAACGTAAAGACATCGACAAAGACAATGGCACTGACTGACACTGATTCTCAAAGATTTTCAAAAAGATCATGATTAAAGGCCTGTATAGAGATCGAAGCGAAGCGAAAACCTCATACAAAATACTAAATTTTTCACCTGCACGAAAAACGTATTTGGCAAATGTTTCACTTCGCTTTGAACTGTAAACAGATACGATCCAGCGAAATCTAATTTTGTGGATCGCATCTTTTTCGCTTACGTTTATTTTTTTTCGCGCATGCAGCGCTCGCGAAAAAAAACAGCAGCTAAGCGAAAAGTTGACGTTTCGGGAGAGCGTATCTGCCAGATTTTCACTTCACCGGAGGTGTAAACTGATCGATTTCGTTTCACATGAACTGTGCACTGCGAAAAAAAGAAACTGGAAAATGTTCCACAAACATTTTGTCACAACCTTTTTCGCTAGCGAAATTTCATGATTTTTCGCGTGCTTCACATTTCGTTTCGCTTCGATCTGTATACTATAGGCTTAAGAAGGTACATATCACGCTTATTCAAAATTGAGTCGAATGCACTCATTTCAGCGGCAAGTAGGGCTACTCAAAATTGAGTAGCCTTATGTTGACTCACTTTTGAGTAAACGACGTTCTCATGTAGACTGAGTCAAATCCACTCAGCGATATTTTCAGTTGCGGGGAGTGTTTTTGTTTTGATTTTTATTTAAGGAAATGGAAATTTCCTGCTCCGGATTCATTCTACCGGAACAGAAAATGCTTCACCACCGTTTCCCTAAGCAATTCCTTCTTACCTGGAGGCATTTCAGCCGGTTTTGAGTAACTTTTCCTAGGAAGTTTCCTCCAACATGGTTGACATTTTTTCTAAGTCCAGGATTTTGCTGACTGAGTGGCTTTTACTCAGTTTGACATTTCTCGTTTACTCAGTTTTTGACAACTCGATACATCGGACGAAAGTGAGTACGATCGACTCACCCGGTGAGTAAGCTAAAGTTAGCGGGTTGATCCCTGTGATTATTATTCTGTGGTGCCAAATCTTTACCTCTACCCTTGTGCTGTATGGACAGTGTCAGTGATTTTTCACTGGAGACTAAATTTTGACTTCGGTTAGGCATCTTGATGTCATTTTTGACAACTGTCAAACTTTCCGTTCCGCTTCCGCCACATTGCGTTTGGGCCTTTACGCAGAGTGAAGCTTGCAACACTGATATCTTTGTTTTTGCACAGACAAACAGACGTAACGGTTCATTGTGTATACACGGTAACCGCAAAATACCCAATAATGACTACAAAGTAAGCATTTTCGAGGGAGACTGGGACTACCTATTAAATGAGTAAAAATATTACCCATTTATGAGTATTATTTATTCAAAAATGAATACTTACTACTTGTTTTTTCAGTTGTAATTACTCATAAATGGGTAAAATTTTACTCATTTAATGGGTAGTCCCAGTTTCCCTCGAAAATGCTTACTTTGTAGTCATTATTGGGTATTTTGCGGTTACCGTGTAGGCGAATCCATTAGAAATTAAGCGATCGTTTCAGCCTCTGGTTGCCACAAAGCGTATGATCCGGCTCTGGCTCTTTACACGCTTACTTCAGGTTACTCACCGGGTGAGTCGATCGTACTCAATTTCGTCTGATGCATTGGGCAGGGTTGCTTCCACTCACTTGCTATAAAAACATATTTTTCGGAATTATGCAATCATTAGATGATATAATGATATGTTGTACTTGTAAGTAACGAGAAGCGGGTGTAAAGTATGTGTTTGACTCATAAAACCTGTCAATTTCGCTTTCAGAGCGTCACAATAAGCGATCTTATGATTCGTGAGCGTTCACTCAGAGTGAGCACTCACGTGTCGTAAAATCGCTAATTGTGACGCACTGAAAGCAATATTTACGGATTTTATGTGTCAAACACACACTTCACGTCCTCATCTTGTAACTTGTACTAATTATCACTATACCATCTCATGATTTCATAATTCTGAAAAACATTTTTTTTATAGCAAGTGAGTGGAAGTAACCCTGGCATTGGGTCGTCAAAATCTGAGTAAATGAGTCAAACTGAGTAAAAGCCACTCAGTCGGCCGTGTCAGCGGGACTTACCCTAATAAAAAATAACCATAAACGAACGATAACCCAAATAATTGAACTTTTCCACTAATGGTTTGGAAGATACCCAGAACACGTCGTTAAGCAAAATAACCATAACAATTTTATTAGGGTAGACAGCCGTGTCAGAGCAAACGCTATAAGAAACGACGAAATGATTGTATAACGGCCGAAATGTATTAAGGTAAGTAGACATTGCATGCGGAGACGGCTTACAGTCGTCTTCAGCTCCAGTTAAATGAATCTGGAGCAGGTAATTTTTAAAGTTTTAATCAAAACAAATTAAAAAAAAAAGAATGTCGTTTACTCAAAAGTGAGTAAAAGCATAGAGGTAACTCTAAGACCACTGGGTCCCGAAGAAAATCATTATTATTTTTGGCTCACTCAGTACCAGAACAACGGCCCCAAGCAGTCCCAAGCTATTTCACTCACCCCTGCATGTTCTGCATGAATCCACACACCCCTGATGTTATCTGTCAAACTTTCATAGCGAATCAAAACAAACATAGTGTAGTAATAGAATTTCAACTAGAATAGGGTACGTTAATCGTTTGCTTGGGACCAATAGGCTACTAAAGTGGTGAGCCAATTTAAAATCGTTAGTTTCGTATTGATTGTTGGTAAAAGTGCGCCTACTCACTTGTGAGTAGCCATACTTTCCGATGAAATAAGCATGTTCGACTCAATTTTGAGTTGTTACGAGTTACCGTACACACAGCAAAAAAAAATGTAATATCGATCAACGTAATTCAAGCTGATGTATGAAATAGTGATGTAATAGCAAAAAGCAGATACAATATTACATAATTTTGTTCGCAAAATCGATGTGCACTCAAAAATATTACTAAACAATGAATGATTAATATTTAATCATTTTATGGTTTGTCAATATTTATACATTGGTTTGATTACAATTTGATTTCAAAATTATACTAAGTCGGAATAAAGGCGAAGAATTTGTTCAGTGTATAGGTATTAACGTAAATATTGCAATGGCGCTCGTCAAAGTTGTTATCGTTCCGTTTTAATGTTTTAATTCAATCTCGGTCGTTGGGTTCCATCGGTAGATTAGTGGCCTAATATGGACTAATATAAAGAAAAAAATCACTTTCAATTAACAGGTAATGTAATAATCAACATTGAAAACCAAAGCCCATATTGTTTACTTTTTTTCAGGACTAAGCTCGCAAAGGATGTTACGACCGGAGGCCGGATTTTAATAGGATCGGAAGCATGTAGAACACCGATTTGTTCAACAATGGAGTTTTAAGCCTCTGACGATCGGATGTATAAGAGATGTTCGTAGGCCTAAATGAGGAGCCATTGGCAGAAGTGCTGATACCACTCTTTTTAGCTACCGAAATACATTCTTCAACACCTACGCTACACGATGTATCCTAATTCCTCGCTACTGCTACCATACACAGCAAAAAAAAATGTAATATCGATCAACGTAATTCAAGCTGATGTATGAAATAATGATGTAATAGCAAAAAGCAGATGCAATATTACATCAATGGATGTAATTTTGTTCGCAAAATCGATGTACATCGTACAATGTGATATTACTCAACCGATGGATTGACCTGGTTGCAGCAGTTTCGATGTAATATTCAACAACTTTTTTTGCTGTGTATGACCATGGTTGGAAAAAGCTTCGTAGCTCAGTCATGGATAATCCGAAAGATGTAATCGATTGATATGCTGCGGATGTCGTGGAAAGCAAACGAGTATATTAACGAAGAATGACTGTCTGATAATTCCTTATCGCCCTCAGCGTGTGGTGATTATTATTCCCATTTATGTTTTGTGGTGCTTTTATTTCAAAATACGTCAATAAAAATAAATAAAAATGTTGTTTATTTTTTTTTAAATAACCAACCATAATAGAAAAAGTAATCATAAACACATCCTGGCGAATAAACAAACTTTATGCATTGTATGAATACAGCAAATTTATACTATTCAATGTATAAACCATTTTTATACAAAGTTTGCATTCTCTCTCTTTATACCAAGCTATGCGTCGGGCAGGAGAGTTGCGATTTAGCGTATCTTTTATACTATTTAGATTTTAATATTTTTTGAGTGTGCATCGTACAATGTGATATTACACAACCGATGGATTGACCTGGTTGCAGCAGTTTCGATGTAATATTCAACAACTTTTTTTGCTGTGTAGAGTCGAGGTACGATTCATTTTTAAACGGATCGAATCGACGATATTTCCGCCACGACTTTTTTTTTTGGCATGTGTAGACCCCTTGCCAAAGTTTCTGATGCTGCATGGGCCTCCCTGATCGTTTTCGGGTTTTGACATTTGAAACTGTCAAAATGGCGCCGCACGCGAATGTCGACTCTCTTGTTCAAAATCGGAGGACGGTCGACAAAAGCGCATAAAAAAATAATGACATGGCTGACTGTGTCGTTAGTGTGTGCTTGGTCGTGGTAAGTTTTTTTCTTGTTAAATATTTTAGATGAAATTGTGTGAATTTCCTCATGAAAAGTGGTCGAAAATGTAGTTTACGATCCCGTGAAGTGAAATTGAACACTGGTTCCTGAGGGGTGATAGTTTCCGGGCTAATAATAATGAGTGAAAAAATGGAGTTCAGATTTTCACCCTGCTGCCAATGTTCGTTCCCGAAATCCGATGTCTCTTCTTGGTTGCCTTTTTTCTGGTTCTCACCCGTGTGCCCATCATCGCCCATCGCCTCCGCCACCACTGCCGCTGTTGGTGATATTACGATACGACGACGACGTCGGATGGGCAAAAGGAATGCAACGTTTGACACACAAAAAGGGGAATGGGATGCGCAAAGGGGAGCAAAATGGAGAAATCGACCCAGGCGACCGAGTTGAATAGTTTTTTTTTTCTTGTTTTATTTATGCTGTCTTTGTTAGTTTCTTATCTGGATCAATATTTTTTAGTTCTTATGCAAAAAAAAACTGGACTAATATGTTTTATCTATTTTCTCTTTCTCTGCTTACAGCTTGTGTAACTAAAAAACCGCTATTTTAGACTAAAAAGCAGTATAATCGAATCTACACCTACAAAAAGCAACCAAACAGAAAATCAAACACTACTCATCAATATTGTTTCTTTACCAACCACAATTAACGGGAAAAATACTCAAAAAAATAAAAATCTTTCACCGAAACCAAGAAATCGCGACATTAATCTTAGTGTTATCGAGACAAAGCCTTAAAGAAAAAAAGAAAATATTCGTAATGCAATTGTGATCTCCAACTTTATTTTTTCAATTTTTGTTTGAGAACAAAAAAAAAACAAGTGTTAAAAGGAAAAAAGTATTGAGGAACAGAAGTTATAACAAAACAACTCAGCACGCATTTACGACATCTTTTGGAACCAAGAATTGAAGAAAAAAAGATCAAGAAACAACCATCGCCACCACAACCACCACCTCCAGATCAGACCAGTTCAGACACACAGCCTGCCTGAAACATTGATTGATAACAACAACCCAGTAGTAGCAGGAAGAAAGAGCGAAACAGCAGAATCAGCCGAACAGTGTGGCGTGTGCCAGCAGCCACTTCTGCCCGGCAGCAGCAGCAGGAACAGCAACAACAACAACAGCGAACGGAACGAAAGAGTGAGTACAAAGCAAATTGGGAATCATTTTTGGTCGGTGAATCATTGAAACAGACTAGTTATGTATCTGGTCAAAACAAAGGCAATCCTAATTTGTGATGAGCAGAATCATGGCTAATAGATAAATGTAATATGTACAACGACGCATAAAAAAATATTGAGCTTGGATTTAATAATACGACGTCAGCGCGTATCTTGTTTCAACCCGGTAGGCAGCGGATTATCATTGATAACAATGTTAGTTTGTGTCTCTTCGTTCAGAATACATGCATAATGTTTATCGAAAGTGGCGAGAAGAACTGAAACTTGCCGTTCTTGCTTCAAACAGTGTCTGAGCTAGCACTTTTATGTATGATGTCATCCTGGATTACTTTCGATTAAAGACTGTTAAGGGTTGTCCGCGAACTACGTACAAGGTTCAGAGAAGCTCTACAGGTTTTCTATGCGGGGAGGATAATGTTATTCATAATTCTTTGTTTGATTAAAGGGCGTTAAAATGGTGTCTGTTTAGTTTTGTAATGTATAACACTTCATTGTATTTTTTAAGCAGTAAACAGTTGGCACTATAGTCGCTATATTTATTGTCTGGCGGATAGATTATCGATCTATAGAAAATCGGAACCAATTCAATATTGAAAGGTACTATAAACTTTTATAATCAAAACTTTGATAGTTCTTTCCTCGCCAACCGAAAGCAAATTAACAGCATAATCGGATAGGGGAAAGTTTCCCCAACTCGATGATGGTATTGGTTTGCGTAGGCAAGCCTTGAGTCACGAGAAAAGGCTTTCCGAAATTTAGTTCGCAAACATATGTGCTCTTTTCAAATGTTGGTCGTGATATCTAGACTAACTTTTGAAGAGGGCGCAATTCCAAAATCACCATATCGAGTAAACCGGTTCCGAACATTGCTGAACATTGCACTAGGTCATAAGTAATATTGACTGATTATCTTTCGTTAATAACTTAAGCACATAACCGTTTCTTGTTGTGTTTGTCTTATTAGGAAGGTCCATTAATTATGTCACGCAAATTTAGCCCATTTTCGACGCAGCTAGATGATTTTTCACGTACATTGGGCATACATATGTTGTAGAGTGTACATGCTTATCACTTACTTTTTACGTGAATTTCCCGTAGCATCAACAAACATGAAAATCACGTAAATGTTATCAAAATTTCATTTGACATCCCTAATAAAATTTGTATGGTTATTTTGCTTAACGACGTGTTTGGGGTATCATCCAAACCATTTGTGGAAAAGTTCAACAATTTGGGTTATCGTTAGTTTATGGTATTTATTTATTAGGGATTGCCGTGAGGCACGTGTAAATGATTGGAGTGGGATGTTCAAGAGGTTGCGTGATTTTTAACGTAGCATGAACGTGAAGATTTTTTAAAGTGTAGATAAATGCTTCTTTTATCGATCTGTGTGCTGAAAATACATGTGAATGTCTTTACATGGCCGTGGGGATACAAAGAGAAAGTCGACAAAGATAATCAGTCAATGTTACTTAGGACCTAATGCAATGTTCAGCTTGAATTTTATTAGCTTGACATACAGTTAATAGTGCAATCTAACATCAACACTGAGAAGAACTGGCAACACTGGTGATACGTCCTGGAAATACACCCTCAGGATTTTTTGTTTGTTGTTCTGCCTTGATTCTTCCCTCGCAAATTTTGTGAGAAAGGAATGACGCCCGGAGATTTATTGCTGTCTTCTTTTTGTTCGTTGTTTACACGTGAAATATCAATCGGATGCATTTCAAATGAATCGGGCGTGACCATGTAAGAAAAAATGTTTTTGATGATTTGAAGTGATATTTTCTTCTACTTTTTCGTGTTTATCGAGTAGTTTGTGAACTGTTCTCTCTATTTGTGGCAAAATATGGTTTGTTTACATTTTGGAGTTACACCCTTTTCAAATGATAGTCTAGATTTCAAATGAATCGGGGGTGACTAGATACTACCGAATCGGAACATTTTGCATATTAAAACAATAGAATTCGTATAATAGTTTGGTGCAAGGCGTAAGAACCAGATGCATCATAAAGTTGAAAATTGGAACCGGTAAATCGCATAGGGAGTTCATCAAATATATTTTCCATAATTCATTAAAATTTCAAACCTTGTTAACTCGCAGGAAAAGTATGTATATTTTTAATCGGTTAGAAGCAAAACATTTGACGTAGAGGGAGGTGACTGTCAAATACGAACAATCGTCACCTACCTCGCATAACTGGTTCCAAACGACAACAAAGCCGTAAGCAACGATGGTTTCTCGCGTAACATTTGAAAAGGGCCTATGTCCAAAATGTAAACAATCCAGAAAATGAATTGTAAATTTTTCCGCCAGTATTTAATTCCTATATAAATAAATTGAAGTATTTTAGGCATTTATATTGTTCACAATAACCATAGTAGCTATATCTCAGTACACAACATCCAAAACATGCGAAACGTTTTCAAAAATACATGAAAATCGATAAAAATTTAATATCACAGTAATAAGCCTTTTTGTGAATCTTTAAATGGTTAGGCCCTTTTTGTTAAGCCGTTGTGCTTGGCATCATAAATTGTAGGCCCTTTGCTAAGCCTTTTCTTAACGTCAAATAAATCATCGGCCCTGCCTCAAGCAGTAGGGCCTAGCTTTGATTTGAAATTTTTCAATCATTGGCCCTTCTACGTCGCTAGGCTTATGAATGGAACCTCATCGAACAAAAAAATATATATGTTAGGCCCGAGGTTAGGCCGTTTTAGCATGAATGATTGGAAAAATTTCGTGGATCGGCCGTTTTTAAAATCAAGTTATTTTTAATGATTTTTATCGATAATGCGGAACATTCGGAATATTCCCATATGACAAACTCAATGAGCCTTACACATGTTGATCTCATTGATGGATTGTCAGTAGGCCGATTTGACTATAGTCGCTATATTCATAGTCTGGCGGATAGAATCTCGGGAACCAATTGAACTGTCAAAGAGCGGAACCAATCGAGCAAATCACGACCAACAACAGAAAAGAGCACATCAGCTATTCAAACAAAACTTCGGAAACTCTTTTCTCGTGACTCAAGGCTCGCCTACGCAAACTAACACCATCTTTGGGTTGAGGAAAGTTTCCCCTATCCAATGATGCCGGTATTTTGCGTTCGATTAGCGAGGAAAGAATAATCCCCTCCCCATGGACATGGAGGTTGACGGTACTGAAGCAAAGGGTTATGTTTAATTTCTTTATATTTGCAACGATGATGATTTCCCATAGTGACACATATCACCTTCTTAATGCTTCAGTATACCTCAAACGATTAATTCTTGGTTGAACTTCCTTGATGCAATCGGCTGCTTCATGCAGACTGAGCAATTCTGATTATAGTATCAGATTTGTTCTGTATACAGAGGAACTGGGAGGGCTTATTAGAAACTTCTCACCAATAAAGTAATGACCTTCTAGTAAATTTTGCATATCATTTTATTAATATTTTATTTTATTTAAGCATATTATTTTTGTTACAGTCAATTAGCATTAGCATACAATACAAGAGATTTAATATTACTTGCTCGGTTTTGCTTTAATTTTTTTTTTTTGTGATTTCAAAATTTTCCTAGTTTGGTTAGAAGTTTCGAAGCTAACACATGTCCACTATAGTCGCTATATTCATAGTCTGGCGGATAGAATCTAGGGAACCAATTGAGCTGTCAAATAGCGGAACCAATCGAGCAAATCACGACCAACAACAGAAAAGAGCACATCAGCTATTGCGAACAAAACTTCGGAAACCCTTTTCTCGTGACTCAAGGCTCGCCTACGCAAACTAACACCATCTTTGGGTTGGGGAAAGTTTTCCCTATCCGATGATGCCGGTAATTTGCGTTCGATTGGCAAGGAAAGAATAATCAACGTTTTGTTTATAAAAGTTGATAGTACTTTTTCAATTGATGGTCTAAAATATATTGAAATGGTTCCGCTTTTTGATAGATCGAAATTGTATTCGCCAGACTATGAATATAGCGACTATAATGTCCACAGGCCTAATAGAAAAATAGGCAGAAAAAGTGTATCATGAAGAATGGTTGCATGCAGGGTTGCTTCCACTCACTTGCTATAGATGAGTGATTTTCGGAGTTTTGAATTCGTTAGATGTTGTAATGGAGGTTTGTGTTGTTGGATGCGGGAGGAGATTGGAGGGCGGGTGTTTGACGCATAGAGCCTGTCAATTTCGCTTTCACAGTGTCGCAGTCAGCGGTTTTATGATTCGCGAGCGCTCGAGATTCGTAGAATCGTTGATTGTGACTGCCAGTGGATTTGGCGGGTTTTGTGTGTCGGACGCTTGCTTTTTGGCCTTTTCTTGTGTCTAACATGTGCAGAGTATCATTATAGCTTCTAATGGTTTTGAGATTCCTGGTTGCGTGAAATATACTTGTGAGAATATCTTTTTGAGATTTTAGTAGTCACGTTTTGTTTGTAGTTTAGGTATATATTATTTCTTTCATGTAATTATCGTAAATAATAGTTATTCAATAATAGATAATTCATCCATATATTCAATAATAAATTTACGAATGACTATAATTTGGATACCTAACAATTGGACAGAATCACTAGCAAGAATAGGTTGTGTTCGCCTTCGAAAATATCGATTCGTTTTTTCAGGGTTGTAGTTTTGGTTTTCATCAGTGGCCCGGCTATGATTGTGAACGATTTAGGTAGTATTTTTAGGTAACTATTTAGCTTTTAGCACAACTTTGCTACTACGAATCCACAAAAGACATTAAATTGGAGGCGGATTCTGGTACGGAATTACAGGCTGCTATTCTGAGCAACTTACCTTCATAAAATTAAAAATTACATTTAGGTATTAATTAGCAAATATGAATAGTAGTTAACTTTAACATAATTTTGATAAAACAATCATTTCATCCAGTTCACTTTAAAACAAACAAGTATGAAAGGAGATTTCTTAGAATAAAGATAAAAGTAATAAGCGCAATATT